TCAATGTTAGTTGTGCTTAAATATCGTGCTATTTCTGTCATTTAAAAAAATAATTAGTAGAGACAGAACTATTGAGAATTTTTTGTAAAAGGCATTTGATTATTTCAGCGTAAAAGGCGTTGTATAAAGCATTCTGAAAAATATTTAAAAATCGAAAGCCTTTGGATTCGCAAACATGCCCGACATTAGCGTGCTAATTTTGAGTAACATTCCGACGCACATGCTACTAAGTGACAAGTGATCAATTGAAGGAAGTTTTTGCACTTGAAATTAGCACGTGTAGTACCTTTAGAATATAGCTATATTCTATAATTACCTAGCTAGCTAGATAACTAGCTAGTTATCATACATTTTCAATAATATAAAGACTCACTTCATCAGTAATAAGTATGGCGTCTTGGGTCTGTGTCAAAAACTAGCTCCCGAAAACCAAGCTAGTCAAAATTAACTACTTATAAAAATTCCTCTAGAGATAAAAAAGGTTATGTTAATGATGTAACGTTATGTAATTACAAATTTTGAGATAAAAAACGTGACAAACAACCGAACAAAATGTTCATTGTTTATATAGATAGAGATGATTAAGTATGTTTCAAAATATTGTGCAATATTAGGTATTTGAGTGATATAATCGTTCAGATCGTTGGTTTTTGTAACCAGGTGACGGGCACGCTTCGGTCTTTGCATCGCCTTAAACATTTTCTTCCGTCCTCCACCAAGATGATGCTTGTCCGTGCCTTGATTTTCCCTATCATTGACTATACTGATATTTACTACTACGACTTGAATGCAGATCTCATAAATAAACTGACCCGCCTTCTGAATAACTGTATTCGATTCGTCTGCAACCTGCGTAAATACGACCATGTTTCTGCATTCCGATTGCAACTAAAATGGTTGCCTATACATCAACGCAGGGAACAACGGGTGCTAACCACTTTATACTCTCTGCTTAATTCTACTTCTCCAAGTTATTTAGCCTCCTACGTTCAATATGTGAGGACCAACCACAATAAGTATCTCCGTTCTACAAACAATCACCTCCTCCAAGGTCCCACACACGACTTTCTCCACTCTTCAATTTTTATTCAATCAGTCTTAATGTGGAATGCGCTACCCACGGATTTCAGGACGGCCTCCATTTGGCTATCCTTTAAATTAAAAGTCACTGAACACCTTCAGAACAAACTGGGTCCAGTAGGGCTACGGCCCGATATGGAGCCGCGGAAGGTTTAACGGGTTACCGGGACTCCGGCTCGAAGGAATGGGGTGGTTTTTAGTCAGTAAAAGTCTGACACTCCCTCCAGTTTTAACCAAACAACGGCGCGAAGAGTCAGAAAATCCCTTAAAAACGAGGCAAACCTATATCTACCAAAAACCTTATATAGTACTTAGTTAAAATAAGTCAAAATCCTTTAAAAACAGAATATTCTAAAGTGGTGTTGTTTGCACTTAGTGCTGGTGGTCGCAAGAGCTGGCGGCTCTGCGCAAGGCGTGCACTACTGCGCGACGCCAGTACACTAGGCACCGCAGGCGCCGTATCCGTCCTCCTAATGCGGAGGCGAGAGAGGCGGAGTTATACGAGGGATACAGGGCGGCGAAGGCCCTCCTCAAGGCGGAGATATTGCGGGCCAAGGAGGAGGCCCGCCGAGAGATGCTGGGGACTCTGAATAGAGACCCGTGGGGACGCCCGTACCTGATGGTACGCGACAAGCTCCGTGCTTGGGCTCCCCCGCTCACTCAGAGTCTCCGGCCAGAAGTCTTGGAGGAGGTGATTGGCGCCCTGTTCCCCCGACTGTGGAGGGGCTTCACCCCTCCGTATATGACTCCGCCCCCTGCGGTGCCCGACGCGGGCTACAGCGACGACGACGATGACATCGTCCCAGAGGTGACCGAGGCAGAATTGAGAGCGGCGGTGCGCCGGATGGGCGCCAAGAACACCGCCCCAGGACCCGACGGCCTGCATGGCAAGGCATGGGTCCTGGCCTCAGAGGCTCTCGGGCCTCGATTGATTGGTCTCTACAGCGCATGTCTGGAGAGAGGCCAGTTCCCGCTTCTCTGGAAAGCGGGCAAACTGGTCCTCGTGCGGAAGACGGGGCGCCCTGCGGACTCTCCGTCCGCGTACCGGCCCATAGTGCTGCTCGACGAGGTGGGGAAAGTCTTCGAAAGAATCATTTCGAACCGCCTCGTCGCGCACCTGACGGACATTGGGCCGGACTTGTCGGACGGCCAGTTCGGCTTCCGCAGAGGGCGCTCCACGGTGGACGCCATCATGCGCGTTAGAGACCTCACGACGGGGACTGCAGTGTCCAGGGGTAAGGTCGTAGTGGCGGTGTCTCTGGACATCGCCAACGCCTTCAACTCCCTGCCCTGGAGCTGCATCTTGGAGGCACTCCGATATCATCGGGTGCCTACCTACCTCCGTCGTGTAATCGAGGCTTACCTGACGGACAGGTCCGTCAGCTACCCCGGTCACCGGGGCGAGTGGAACCGGCGAGAGATGTCACGCGGTGTTCCACAGGGTTCGGTTCTGGGGCCGCTCCTGTGGAACATCGGCTATGACTGGGTGCTGCGCACCGACCTCCCGAACGGCGTTAGCACAATATGCTACGCCGACGACACGCTGGTGCTAGCGCACGGGAGGTCGCACCAGGCGGCGGCCGACTTAATGGCGACAGCGGTTGCGACAGTCGTTGAAAGAATCCGGCAGTTGGGACTCGAGGTGGCGCTCCACAAGTCCGAGGCCATGTGTTTTCATGGCCGCGGGAACGCGCCACCTCCGGGTGGGTCCCAAATAACGGCGGGAGGGGTTACCATCGGCGTCGAGACGGCGATGAAGTACCTAGGACTCGTCCTCGACAGTCGGTGGAACTTCATAGAGCATTTCCGACGTTTGGCTCCAAAGTTGGAGAGGACGGGGGCTGCGTTCAAACGCATCCTCCCCAACCTCGGGGGGCCAAACGCCTCCTGCCGGAGGTTATACGCCGGGGTCGTGCGGTCCATGGCCCTCTACGGCGCCCCTGTTTGGGCGCCGAACTTGTTGCGGCGTCCTGCTCGGACGCTGCTCAAGTCACAGAGGGTCATGGCGATCCGAATGATCCGCGGATACCGCACGATCGCTGGGGAGTCGGCGAACCTCCTTGCCGGATTACCGCCGTGGGATCTGGAGGCGAAGGTGCTCGCGCGCGTGTATAACATGCGCGCGGAGGCACGTCGCCGGGGCGAAACTCCGCTGCCGCGCCAGATAAGTGCGTGGCGGGATGAGCTCCGGCGCGATCTCATGGCGGAATGGCAGCAACGACTGTCGCAACCGAGGGCTGGGCTCGCTGCCATTGCAGCGGTAAGTCCCCTCTTTGAGGAGTGGCTTGAGAGACGCTACGGCGTCCTCACCTACCGCCTGACGCAGGTCCTCACCGGACATGGAAGTTTCGGGAGGTACCTGTGTCTGATGGGGCGGGAGGAAACGCCCGGGTGTCATCACTGCGAGGACCGCCCTGAGGACACGGTGGAACACACCGTAGCGGAATGCCCTGCGTGGGCTGAGCACCGCCGTGCCCTCAGGGAAGTGATCGGCGATGGCGACCTCTCGCGTCCGGGCCTAGTGCAGGCCATGATGCGGAGCGAGGGGGACTGGGATGCCGTCTCCTCCTTTTGCGAAGCAGTCATGCTAGCTAAGGAGGAGGCGGGACGCGTGAGGCAGCGAAGCGCTGCCTCCTCGCGACCCAGCCATCGCGAAGGACACACCGGGCGTCGGGGATCGCGGGACGATCTCCGGCCACCGTAAGCGCGGGCCTGCGGACGGCGAGCATGGGTGGCTCCCCGTCCGACCAGAAACAGACCCGAGCGTACGGCGCGTCGCGTTCCGCGCGCGCCTCAAAGAGCCATCAGACCACCACAGATGGGGCCCAATAGGGCCGATGCCGATTCGGAGTCGCGGAGAACCTAACGGGTAACCGGGGCTCCGGCTCGACGTGCAGGAGAAGGAACGGGGTGGTTTTTAGTCAGTAAGAGTCTGACACTCCCTTCCGCCTCACCCAGGCGGGAGCAGTCATTCGATGATTTTCCCCCCTTAAAAAAAAAAAAAAAAGTAGTACCAAGAAGATTAATGTTTCTTATGTTAATGTTAAGCCAGAGATATTCAGGAGGTTACAGCTGAAGCATCAGCTCCATAAGACTTTGTAGTCTTTAAAATGAGTGTTGCCAAGTTTTGACCGCAATTTTAGTGTTGCTTTTAAAAAAATATCTAAATATTACTTTATTACCAAATTGCTTGGAAATGACAACACATATGCATGTATTATCTTCAAACTATAGCTATTTAAAAAAGAAATATTACATTACTACCTAATGCGTAGCGTACAGGAGTGAATACGAATTTTTTTTAAACGTTATTATTTTCTCCTGTGTCGTGGATGCGTTTACAAACTTACAAGTTCACACACAATGACACCCAGACCCGAAACAACAATTTGTGGATTACACAAAGTGTTGTTCCGTGCGGGAATCGAACCCGCGACACGTTTTGCACGGTTACCCAGCCACCACATCAACCGTGATGTCATTAGTTTGTAATAGGAAACAACAATAAAACTAATTAACTTTCATTACATGGGACTCATAACATAAATAGTGAAAAGTGGGTGTTACATTGTACAGTGGTATAATGTGCACCTCTGCCTACCCCTTCGGGGATAAAAGGCGTGATGTTATGTGTTATGTAACTTTCATTATTTCGTTACTTACTTTTAAAAAAAACGAATCCAACCCCCTCTTTTGAAATCCGTTGAAATTGAGAATCTCCCTTTTTTTCTTTTTGAAGTCGGTTAATAAAACACCAAATAACTTGCAATTGCCTTAATTTAATTATTATATATAACATAACAAAACAAAAAACTTAACAAAGCCTTTAATCACAACCGTTCTGATGCGCAAGAAAAAACTAAACTCATTCATTTTTCTTTTAGTCTTTTCGTCTATTCGTCTACTGGTCTTCTAGTCTTCTAAATGCTTCTCCAGATGTGTTTCCACCTAAGCTGATAAATATTATCATCAAGCCAGCTCCTTAAAGCTGAGACTTTGGAGTAGACTCCTGGATATTCCGGTCGTGCACATCCTAGACCCCAGGACACGACGCCAGCTAACTTGTTGTTATGAACCAGGGGTCCGCCGCTGTCACCCTGTAAAAATGGATAATAAAAAATTTACTTATCAGTCTTTTGGTGTTGGTTCGTTTTTTGCTCGCATTGCCAAAATTGTACCTATAACATGGTGTCTCACAATAGGCTCACCCCCTATTACATGGGACTCATAACATAAATAGTGAAAAGTGGGTACAGTGGGTACAGTCGCATTAAGTGTCGTAATGTGCACCTCTGCCTACCCCTTCGGGGATAAAAGGCGTGATGTTATGTTATGTATGCTATAACGTGGTGTATAGAATTATCAAATAAGAAGTATTGAAAGATTCTATACTCGTCGCACGGAGTCTCGATATTAGTCAGCTTCATTTTATACCCATGGTTCTCTCCAAGGACGTTAATAGAAGCGAACATAATGTCACTTAGAAATTTAATTATTGAAGGACCTAAATATCAATACTTTTTTAATGTCATCATTATCATCCATAACATCACGCTTTTATCCCCGAAGGGGTAGGCAGAGGTGCACATTGCACCACTGTACAATTTAACACCTACTTTTCACTATTTATGTTATGAGTCTCATGTAATAGCAGGTGAGCCAATTGCCATGTACCGGGCACAATTCCAGGCTCCGTGCTACTACTGAGATTTTTTTTATAAACCCAGTAATACTTTGCCCGACCCGGACTCGGCCAACGAGGCAGTCTTTACCTACTTTTTTATGCGTGAGTGTGTTATAAGGGACCTCGTTACCAGACGTAAGAAAATGATAGATGTCCTTCGTGTCAATGTGTTTATAGTTCTGCGCGTAACAATATAGTAGTCATTTGCCACACTCGTTCCGAGAAACTGTATTTGCCTTTTTCAACGTTCTTGGTTCTCTCTCTTTTATGGTTATCAGTTATCTTTGACGGTTATAATTTATAGACTAAACATAAAAATAAGTTTACCTGGCATGCATCCTTTCCACCACCAAGTGCCCCAGCGCAGAGCATATAATTAGTAATAGCATACAACGGCTTGTAAGCATCGTTACATATCTCGTTGTTGATTTTCTGGACGGTCACTCTCTGCAGTGTACTTGGCGTACCACCAATTTCCTAAAACAATCATTTTATGAAAAAAAGTATCACAGTGTTTTGTATTTAAGGGGGGAAAAATCATCGAATGACTTCTCCCGCCTGGGTGAGGCGGGAGGGAGTGTCAGACTCTTACTGACTAAAAACACCCCGTTCCTACTCCTGGACTTCGAGCCGGAGCCTCGGTAACCCGTTAGGTTCTCCGCGGCAAGTATCACAGATTAAAAGACGCTTGGACCTAAAATAGCATTTATATCTTCTCAAAAAAAAACTGACGAGCTACGCATTAATCTCATTATCTGATTCTATCAATAGTTCTAAGTTTTTCTTAAAACGATTTTATTGTGAACGCTTAGAAAGCACCCTGAACATCAAAAGCAATCAAATATCAACCTAAAAACCACTTACATAAAGGTTACCCCATCCAGTCACAATCGTATCATCACCATCATTTATTTCTTCACCTCTTCCCATTAATTGTACTGGTCTTATTTTGTCGCTGAACACCAATGGTTTGGGCAACCAAAGAATGGCAATGTCATTGTCCATGTTGCCGTAATCAAAGCTTGGATGCCAAAGTATTTCACCGACTGGGTATAATTGTCCACCTTTCTCGCTGTACGATGAACCAGCACGGATTTGGAATTCGTTTGCAAGTGATCTGGAAGAAAATATGTAAAATGTAAAGGAAAACAGTTTGTATTTATGTTATAAGTTTCGTGGGACATGTTAAATTAATTATTATATTTTTCGGCTTACTAACGTTATTTAAAGTTTTAAGGCTAAGTGTGGGAGAGCCATGCTTCGGCACGAATGGGCCGGCTCGACCGGAGTGATACCACGGCCTCACAGAAAACCGACGTGAAGCAACGCTTGTGTTGTGTTTCGTCGTGTGAGTGAGGTTACCGGAGGCCCCATTACCCTCCCCTTCCCCAATCTCCCCAATCCCTGAATCCCCAACGATCCTCAAACTCTTAATCCCCAAAAAGCCGGTAACGCACTTGTAACGCCTCTGGTGTTCCAGGTGTCCATGGGCGACGCCGATTGCTTACTATCAGGTGATCCGTCTGCTCGTTTACCGGCTTATGCCATAAAATATATATATATATATATTTGACGAGGCACTTGACTAGCCAGTATCAGCGACAGTGCTCGAACCTGAATATGAGGCTCTAGCATGGCTTAAAACTAGTCGAGTTCCTTATCAAATAATTACAAAAGCAGTTTGGTTGATTAATTCTATCCTACTTCGTGATTATTGTACTTTATTCTGGTTTGCATACGTAAAATGCAACTGCCCTTATTAAGCATGAAATTTAAAGTCTGATTCCTAGGATACGTAAAGTACATTCAGTAGTATAATCAAAATTAATAACAACGCGAAGTTTGGTATTGCGGTCAAATTACTATAAATTACTAAGGGAATCAACTAAAAACATTATGTATGACAACAGTTATAAGTCTAGTCGTTCGATAACTACTAAAAAGAGATTTCTCTTTGACAAATTCAATATATATTCTTAGCTCGTTCAAAATGACCTGGGTGTCTTCAAAGCCCGAGTGAATAGGTTGCTTATGAGCAGACGTGCTCCATCGTAGACCGCATCATCGCTTACCACCAGACGAGATCATCACGAAACGTCGAACGTAAAAAAAATAAAAATTGACAACTTGCCCCATAACACAATGAGCAGCAGTGACAATGATATCCTTAGCGACAATGGTTCCTCCACAGGAGTGTCTCCCTCCCCTCACGAGAGACACCTGGTATGGTGCATCAGTTATTTCAATGCTTTCACCGCCAACGATTTTAAGGTCATCTAAGGATTTTATCGTGGGGCTTGATACTGAAAAGAAATATTTAAAATTTGAATGACCTGACTAAGATTTGGTTGATTGAGGTTTTTTTTTTCATTTCATTGAACCTACTATAACTTTGAAACTCCTTTCACAACTAAATCCTCTTATCTTAAGGCAATTTAGGTAAAATTGCCTTAAGGGCCTTTGACCAGCAGTGGACGTCTCAAACCTTCTCCGTGCGAGAAGTGAGTTTTGATCAGCAGTGCCCACTTCTGTAAGTGGGCACTGCTGATGATGATGCGGATGACATTTTCCCAAATTTTTTGAATAGATTAATGACTGCCTCCTTGCCCGAGTGGTCGCAAGTGCGACTGCCGGGCAAGGAGTCTCGGGTTCAATTCCCGGGTCGAGCAAAGTATTACTGGGTTTGTAAAAACCTCAGTATTAGAACGGAGTTTGGAAATGTGCCCGGTATATGGCAATAAGCTCAACCTCTATTACATGGGACTCATACCGTAAATAGTGAAAAATGGGTGTTACATTGTAAAGTGGTATAATGTACACCTCTGCCTACCCCTTCGGGGATAAAAGGCGTGATGTTATGTTATGTATTGAAATATTATTGAAAAAAAGTAAAAGTGATCATATAAAATTGGACTTTATGGACTCAATTGTGATTTTATAAATAGGAAAAACCCGAACATAAAATCAAATATAACACAGAACCACCACGGTTGGGCCCAATAGGGCTGATGTCGGGGAACCTAACGGGTTACCGGAGCTCCGGCTCGAAGTGCAGAAGTAGAAACGGGGTGATTTTTAGTCAGTAAGAGTCTGACACTCCCTCCAGCCTCACCCAGGCGGGAGCAGTCATTCGATGATTTACCCCCCTTAAAAATATATATATAACACTGAACTCACCGGCATAACTAACACAAGCCAAATAGATGAAGAAAGAAATCATGATGAAAGCTTCGCAGCTACAACACTCACTGCTAATTGTTCGTACTAATTGACAATTTATACCTTACGAATTACAAAAGAACCCTTATTAAGGTCAAAGTAATTTAACTGATAACACTAACCTTCACTAGACACTCGACTGATAAAATTAAATCTCAAGTTTTGTTTGTGTGTACAATTTGTGTATCGTCTACGATTAAAAGTAGGTGAAGTTTACGTTTGTATAGATTTTTAGGGTTCGAGAGTCATTTTACTTAATTATAGATTATTTAAAAACATTAGACACGTATTTTTTATTTTCTCACAGAAACGAATAGTTTCGAAGATATATTGATTTGAAATGTCGCGTGACGTCACTTCTCAGTACATTTTATACTAAGAAATGACGTTTTAGCCCCCACTCCTAAACTTTGATTCGTTTTATCTAAGTATTGTTTTATTATACGACAAATTAAAAAAATACGTGTCTAATATTTTTTCATTACCTAACTTACGGACTAATTATATTTTTAATTTTCATACCCTGTCATCATCCCCATTATATTCAATACAGAGGACAATTCTTTATACATATAATTCTACTGTAGTGTGTATGTCATTGAACTCCTCCTAAACGGCTAGACCGATTTGAATGAATTTTTCTGTATGCATTTGAGTGGCGCCCTGGATGGTTTAGATTCACAAATCACTCCGGCAGATGGCGCTGCAATCGGGTTCTCGGTTATTTATCTATACCATCTATATCTTTTGGTGCTAATCTGAACCTCTCGTTCTTCGTTTAAAAGACAAACGTTGTTTAAAAGAGTAACAAATGGAGTTTCTTGCTCGTTCTTCTCCATTCGAATCCACATTTTGGAATCACCTAACATCACTGACGGGCAGACTGACAGACTATTATTTATATTTGTTGACGTTTCAAAAGTACCTAATTATGATTTAATTTAAAAAAAATGCTTTGACTTTGAATTTGCTAGTGTACACCATTGGAGGTGCAATATTCGATTGCTACAGTGATTGAATCTTCTAATATTTGCGCCAACTAGCGACAATTACGGCAGCCCCCATTTGGTCTAATTTTGTAGTCACTATATTACGGCAGCCCCCATTTGGTCTAATTTTGTAGTCACTATTAATCATGTAAAGGTAGGTAGGGATATTTATCTATTGGTTATTTTTTATATAATTGTATTATATTAATTTGTTTTATTGTTTATTATTGTTATTTCTATTGGTTTCTTCGGTATTATTACTTTTTTTTAATAGATTTCTATCTTGTTTGTGTAACACACTATGTGAATATGACAGAAATTCCAGTTGGAATATGTGGGGCCTATATACTCTGTTTTTATATATGTATTGTTCTCTTTGTTGAATGTGTGTACATAAATAAATAAATGAATAAAAGTATATGCCAAGACACTAGACAATTAACCCTACAGCTATTTTTACCTCGGAAACACCACACGATCTCAATAAAGATCCTACACAAGTGTCCATTATAAGTAATCAGTAATAATGTTCATCATTAAGCGCACGTGACAGACTACTACCGGACTGTATGGTTCTTCTATGTGTCGTTTTAAAGCCGCGTCATTTTCTAGGAGGTTACTCGGCTACCGATTTTGAGTCCGAATCAATAAAAAAATGGTAGGTAAATATTTTTCATTTTTCTGTAAATTATGGAAATCCGTAAGTGCGAACTACACGCCGCCGTCTTGTAGCTAGTTTTTGTAATTAGTTAACTCACACAAACTCAATTACGTAATTGTTATTATTCCTTATTCCATAAAACTCCAATAAGAAACATTGCTGTCGCTTATTCTGAAATACTGTCGAACTTAAACGATTTATTATAGCCGTATTTTTAACTATTGGCCCGAAATTTTCTCTTACATTGAACCTTTATGACTTCTGTGACATGCCCCCGAAAAATGACACGGTTTCAAAACTACACCTTGTATAAGGGAGTTTGTTGCATTTCCATTTCCATGTTTAGCAAGCAGGTTGGTAGTCACATTCGAAATGTTAGAAAGTTCACAGAGTGCCGTTGCCCAATCTATAAGAATAAAAATCTATTGGATTCTAAATAAATCCACCCCTTCTTCTCTTGAAGTCGGTTAATATACTTAAATCTTCTCCTATGTGTAGCAAATATTTCTCTGAAAACCACATCAAAATCGGTTCAATGACGTACATATATTATACGTACGTATTTATATATTACATACACTTTTTTTAAGCGGGGAAATTCATCGAATCACTGCTCCCGGCTGGGTGAGGCGGGAGGGAGTGTCAGACTCTTACTGACTTAAAACCACCCCGTTCCTTCTCTTGCACGTCGAGCCGGAGCCCCGGTTACCCGATAGGTTCTCCGCGACAATGTTATTACACTTAAGAGCAGGTTTTATAATATTAAACAGATTAAGAAAAAAAAGTTAAAGTTGTTTTTTTAATGAACTTTATTATGTAGTCCTTTAATCAGCTGTTTGGATACCCACGTAATGAATAAAATATTCTTACTCCACCTTTACAATAACACAGTCTAATTGAGTCAATAAACACTATCTATTTATAGAATACACAACAAAATGTATTGTTCTTTTATTTGTTCGTAATACTCTTCAATATCACGAGGAAAAAGAAGTTATTATTTAATATTTGATTGGAGTACAGCCAATCTGATATTTGTATTTATTTTTCTTCGAAACTGCTTGATATGGTCTATCAATAAGCTTAGGCATAAAAGATCACGTTTTGTTGGCGATAGCATAGACTAGACATTTGTTAGGGTTTATTAATTGTTTCTCAAACTGTCTATGTATGGCCAGTAATATTTTAAGAAGTCGACGGGTCAAAGAAAAGATTAAAATATTGAGTTAGTCTCTTTTGTGACTTTGT